GTTCTATCGCCCAGCTCTAGCCCGGATCTCAGCTGACCCTTCTCACCCTGGACACAGTCTGTTTGACCTGCTCCCCTCAGGCAGGAGGCTCCGGTCCATTCGCACCAGAACCTCTCGCCATAAGAACAGTTTCTTCCCCTCTGCTGTTGGACACATGAACAATAACCGTATGACTGTTCCCACCACTAACACATGACCCTACGCTGTGTTCACTGCATCATTCCATGTTTGGCACTGATCACCACCTGCACTCATGCACATATCTTTCTACGTAGCACTTTTAATTCTTATTCTCATTTTTATTTTCATGTCTATTTAAGCTTAATTTATGACAGTATGTTTGCACTGAAGCACCGCAGCAATTTCCCAATGTTGTAAACCCGCTCAACATTTGGCAATAAAACCCTTTCTGATTCTGACCATGGCAGCCTAACCTAGCCTGCATTCCTGCCATGTTCGCTTGGTGTGTGGGTGTGGGTGTGTGGGTGTGTGTGTGTGTGTGTGTGTGTGTGTGTGTGTGTGTGTGTGTGTGTGCGTGTGTCTGTGTGCGTGTGTGTGTGTGTCAGTCAGAGGCTGGGGGTGAAGGCTGTGCCTGTGTCCAGAGGAGGAGACCAGCTATGCTTCGGGGAGGTGACCGTTATCTCAGCGGCTCACAGAAACAGCCAAACAAAGAAGTGCGTGAGCGTCCAGCTGTGACGCCTCCTGAGGCTGATAACGTCTCCTCTCAAAGCCATTACAGTCAAAAAAGCTTTTCTGACTGGAGTCAGACCGGAGTCTATCCAAACGCTAATGTGTTGTCATTTAATCTTGATCAGGCGTGTTTACATTCAGTTAATACTGTTGCCATGCTGTAATTAGGTTTCATTAACAGGTAATTAGCAGATTTGGGTTTTTCCCGTTCGACTGCGATGCATCGTGTAAACAAAGAGATTTACAAACATCTTGATTTCATCTTGATTTTTACATCCGCACTTTATTCCAGCTTTTCCACTGCATCGCTGCATTAGTGCCCAGTGTTTACCACTTGGTTTAAAGTTTAATTACAATTTTAATGTCATGTATGAACACTTTTTTAACCTACATGCAAATATTTGATTTTTTTTAATTGACAAATGTAAATGTAAATTTAAAAGTCAAAATGGAAAGCCTGTAATTATGGATGAAAAAATAAAATAGAAATGCACCTGTGTATTAGGCAGCTGCTGAATATCGTGGTAAAATGGCCACTGAAAACAAGAGCTTTGTCACTTTTTGAAACGTGCCACAAAAAAAAAAAACCAACAAAAGAAAGCAAACGTTAAAGATGGAGAAGGTTACAGACACAATGCTCATCTGCTTAAAAATGAGTGGAAACCTTTGCAGTGATCACTAGTTATCAGTTATAGAACAAGCTGTAGCGCCATTAGTCAGAGCCAGCCATCTTCCTAAAGATGTCAACACAGACAGCGCACTTCTTGCACAATTTAACTCTAAAAAAAACAGACAAGCGACGTCCTCGGATTTGGCACAGAGGTCATCAGTGAGAATCAGTTTCTGTGAAAATACATGATTGTGTAACATTAAACCCGCATGCAGAAAACGTCCAGATTACAGTTTGCTAAAGAACTGGAAGTGTGATGACACAGATCAGATGGGGTCTGCCGTGTTCCGTCTGAACTTAGCCAGGAAAATCCCAGTGACTGGAGAATTCCCACAGTGAAGAAGAGAAGTGGGAGTGGGATGACATGTGGCTACATGAGTGCAAAAGGTGTTGGAGGGATGACATTTATAGATGGCACCACGGCTGCCTGTGGTTACACAAAACAAAAAACACCCCACAAACTTGATATGTTGAGTTCCAGCGTCACTGACAGAAGAAGATTCCTGAGTGCAAAACACCTCCCGCTGAACAACGGCATCCTTCATACCAACAAGTCAAAGTGAAAACAAACAGGAACCAAACTGACTTCAGCTGCATCGTCTGCAGATCCACAAAGTTTCATGTAGCAAGTCAAATCTCTTTCTTCTTAATTTTACATGAGGGCAAAGATCCTGTTGTTCAGAAGTAACTTCAGAGGATACGCACTTTTGAAACGTTTGACATTTAAGTAACTCTGCGCCCTTTGCTGCACATAATATATATTTTAATAAAAGAATGTTCTTCAAAAATCATAAAAGGTCACCGAGACCTTCAGTCAACAGCATAACTTCAGTTACAGTGCAGCAGAGCTACCATTAGCCAAACAGTAGCTACAGTTTCACTTCACAGACTAACATGGACACAGCACATTCAGCCAGGCTATTAACAGCATCTACAAATCCAGCTGTCATTCAGAGGTGAAAGCACCAATATTACTCACTAGAAGCCCCAAAGACGTGTTCGCTGCCACCTGGCCGGGAAAGGCCAGGTAACAATGCATGAAAAAGGGCAGTAATAGCAAAATAGCATAGCCATAAAAGAGTAGCAATTAGGCAAAATTATACTCACCAGTGAAAGGAGAAAAACCTAAAAAGGTCCATCTGTAGACGTGTATTGCTGAAAATCCATCATCTAACCTATTTTAAAAGCTATTTGCAGGCTTTGTCTGATCAACACTTGTGACTCACAAAGCTCATCTGTACTGATGCTTCCAACCACCTGCTTCTAGCAAGAGTGGGACTTATTTATCCTGCCTCTTCCCATGTCTCCTGTTCCCGCCGCTCTTATTTAGCCCACCTCCTTTGCATCTCTCCCACCCTTCCACTTTTCCGTGTCTCAGTCTATAAGGTGGGAATTTGGAAAATCCCAAGGCACTTGAGGAATCCTGCTGGTCTTTGTCTGCTTGGGTTTGTCCCCAAACTGCTTCTCAGACAAAAACTAAAACCTGAGATGTAGTGTTAACAGAGACGCACAGCAAAAGAGGCATTTAGGAAACAAAGAATGAATTGATATCATCTAAAAGCCCCACAATGAAGCCACTCCCCCAGCTCTTCTCTCTCACCGTCTATAACCACTCCCTAAAAGTTGAGTATTATACCCCCTGACCCAGTATCATGTTCAGCCGCCTATCAGGTCAGGGGGCAGCTCTCCCGCCCTCTCTTATTACCACCTTTCAACCAGCCCAGTCTTAGCTGAGCTCATACCCCTGCATGACTACTTGTCTGTGGATTTCGTTAATATTTCTTGCTTCACCAGCTCAGCAAAAGCCTATTTGAGTAGACAAACACACACAAAGTGCACATTTTCTGGGAAACACATGATCAGGCGACCGCCCGGCCAGTTGCCATGTCTGTACCAAACGCCTGCAAGCCAAGACCAGCCCTCCACAGAAAAGCTTTTAAAACAGTAATGTCATTAGACTCCAAGCGACTTTAAGGAATCTCCATTTTTGGAGCGCAGAGCATGATCAATAGAGCAGAGTGCAGGAGAATGGCTGCTGGCAGCACTTCCCTCTGCAACAGGACCGGCTTCCCTGGAATTAAGACAATTCTAAAAATCCCATTTTGGAAAGAGGCCTGGCCTCACTTACTCAGCTTCTGTCCCGACTTAAACAAAATATTTTGTCCTCTTGGTTCAGATATATTTAGAACTCCTCACAATGCACACCAACAGTGTCCTTTCTTTAAAATAGCTGCTAAACGTAGACCATCATTACTCTGCAATTACCCACCCAAAGTGCAAACACGCATGGGCTGAAAGCACACCATCCAAGTGGTGTAATAATTAACCGGGAATGAAAAACACCAGAGAAAATGTAGCAAAACACAGAGAGGGAGAAAGGCTTCCAACCCAGGTCCAAACATACCGGACACTTTTTTCTTTAAACAAATGAATTTATCGCTCCACAAGATGATAAAGCAAACTTTGCATATCTCTAACGGTTTTTTTCCCCCCTCCCTTTGCTGTTCTGCTCGAATCGCTAACAAAAGTTTTTTACATCTATCTGCAGCTTTGGCTAAAAATGCACGAGCGCTCCAAGCTGACCGAGAAAGATTTAATTCCACAGTAGCCTTTTCCACAAACCCAGCTTCCTCCTGTGCCAGTCAAACCCAAAGTGGCCATAATGGGCTATGACACACGGCGCCCAAAACATTGTTTCAGAAATAGATCTGGAGGGCCACCGCTCTTGGCGTGTAGCAGCAGGTACCCAACAAAGCCTAAATGTCACCCACATTATACATCGCACGAAGGATGGGAGGGATCGATCAGTCACTGTGTGGTCGCACAGCAAATTAACCTTTAAGTAAAGACGCGATGCTGATGTTTAACCACAGAGCGTCCATAAATGCGCGGTAGCTTTTAACGTGTAGAGTCTTCAGGATAAGCATTGCTCCCATCTAAGAACACTAGACGGCTAACATCGCCAAAGCTAAGACAGCATAGCTGGTCCAGATCTGTGTAGTTTCTCAAAGCTCCCACCAGTGTTTCATTTCCACAGAATGTCCCAGCTGCCACGTATGGCAACATTTACATTATAATGTTGGATACCATTAAAAGGCCAATCGCATATCGCAAAAGAACAATTACTCATGTCAGTTCCTGCATCTGAGAAGAGACGTGACACCCAAAGGAAAAAGGTTTCCGTGCTGGAGAATTTCATGACATGAGAGGCAAAAATTTATTTTTCAGGTTTTTTCGAGTTAAAAAAGAAAAAGAAAAAAAGACACATTTTCATGCAAGAAGGAAAACTGAAAGATTTAATGATGCTCTTTTAAACATGGATTTAATTTCAAAGAAATCAGAGCAAGTGTGTAACAATTAAAAAGTTTAAATAAGTAACAGCCAAAAACAGCACTGGTAAAGACTTTGCTTACTGTGTGAACAGACAGAACAGAAAAGCAGCAGAGTAGCGATGGATCCAAACAGATCTGAACTTTATACACTGTATTTAATAAAGTGACGATTCATCCATAGAAAAATGCATCTTAATAAATCCACCATCGAAAACGACCCTGAGACCACCACAAACTGCACAACTGAAACGAGCAGGAAGATCACATCCAGAGTTCAGTTCATATTCTGCAATTACGTTTTTTCTTACATCAAAATCGATTTGCAATCAGAATCAGTCGGCGCCAACCAGCTGGATCCAGTCCGTCCCTCTCCCTGTTTACTTAAGGGCAGTCTGGTCAAGCTGCTGCTGCGGCCGCTCTCGATGTCATTCAGCTGCCTCGATTCTCTCGTCCCAGGGTCGAACTAAATCCACCGTCTGCAGCTGGTCACTGCTCTGGGATGTGCTGTGAGCTTGGAAGGAAGTACGTCCAAGGATGAGGATTATTGCTTTGTTATTTATTGTGCTACTTATCAGTTCATCTGAGGACATGCCTTACTGTGGGCACAAAGTTAGAGCAGAGAATGGGACACAGTACTGGTGAGAGCGACAGATCATTCATAGTTAGGCTTAGTTTTGTAAAAGGACAGAAACACAGCAGCGTTTGGATGGAGAGGCTTCACACGAGTCTAAATTCAAGAGAGGAATTTCAACCAGGCTGCAAAAAGAGTACTTAAAGCACGCCAGTGCAAAAGTGTAGCAACAGTGGTGTTAGTGAAATTATACCCTTCACCATCTTTCCTTAAAAACAAAGTGTCATCTTTGCATTCATTTACTTTTGTTCTTGAACACGTACAGCACGTGAAGCAGTCTTCCAGGTTGTACTTTTTACAATGACTAGTATCTAAAGTCCAGCTATTGGACAATAACTCTTACTTATATGTTGCTTTGAACCATTACAGATGCATTTCTTGTTTTAGTGGCTAAAGATGCACGCAAGCACAGGATGCAGAAGGAAGCAAGCATTAACTGCTTCTGTAGTGTGCAATTGTTTTTTTAACAGTCAACAAAAAAAGGGAAAGTCCACATACTTAAATGCTGGGATGGAGTCGGTGACGGATTTGCAGGAAGTCGTGGGCTGAGAGACAGAGCACCAGGAAGCTCCTTCCAGCTTTTTCAAAAACTTTGTGGTAGTTTTGCGAGGAACGCCAAGGTCATGAACCTACAGCTGCGGGGATACAGTTAATGCAGCAGTCCACCGAGGACTGACAGACAAAAGGACAGATGGACACCAACAGGTCCATCTCCCTTTTCCAGCTGTTGTAGGAGCAGCAGTGGCCCCAGGGTGTAATGATTAACGCCTCAGTCAAATGCTGCACAAACCAGATGGTAAAGATAGATGAGAAGGGCAAAGTCCCTCGTCTCTGCAGCTCTGCACCCACAGACAAACCATCACTCTCCACATACGATTAATCCTGTGCGCACACAGTGTTTAAATCATTTTTAATAAACATGGAGCCGTAGTCAGGAAGCACTGTGCCGTAAAACTGTAATCACATAGCCTTTTCTGTGCAAACATAAAAGAGCAGCATAAAAACATAATTACACAAAAGGCAGGCTTTTATAGCATCGCTATTTACTTTCCAAACCTTAAATGATGACTAAAGAGCGAGAGGCGACTTCATATATTCTGGGGAGGAAAAAAGAAAAAGAAATGTCCGGCGTCGACTTGACAAGAAAAATATCCCTGCTAACAAAAGAAACATGCAATCAGGCGAAATCTTTCCTTCCTTCGTTCTAATCGTGCCCTCCAAAGTTCAGTCGGGACGCTCGTTATGAAACGAGCTCACAAACAGGACATTGTGCATCAACAAGGGTGGACGTTTCTGACAAAAACACTGGTGTGGCGAGAAAACAGGCATCAAAGCACTCACATGCACGCTGACTCAAATCATAAGCTGGCTCTTTTCATAAGGCACAGAGCATCTCACATATCAAAGGTCTCCCTCGAACACTCAATAGCATCCCCTTCAGCTCGCTACATGAAAGAGAACACTGTGGTGTCTTATAATACGCCGTTTTCCCCGTTCACAGGGCCCAACTTCAAACATGGACAAAATCAAGTAGGAAGCCTTTCAGTGTCTCTGTGGAACGGAGTTTCCTGGAAGTTTAAGTCAGAAATTATCAGGAGGCAGCAGGCTCATTCATAATTTGGCACACTAAACGCCTTACTAGACGTGCTCCATATAGACCCGCCATCACACACACACTCGCCGGGGCTCCTGCTTTGCAGAGTGCGAGTAAGTATCACGAACATCTGGCCAAGCCCTTATCACCATGGGAAAAATGTCTAAGGAGGCTGTGTTATCCCTGCTCCAGGGTCCGATTTAGATTGTGTCTGCGGTTCAGCAGCCATAAACTGTCATAGCTGTGATTCTTGTTAATGGGAATCATGAACAGTGATTGTTAAGCGTTTGTTCGCCTATTTCATGAGAGCTAGACCTGAGGCTGTTTTGCCTTCAATGCCATGCAGCCTCGCTCACGCCTGACCCACGTGGGCAGAACTAAGTCAAGTCAGAAAATGAAATTAAGCTGGCAGAGGAGGCGTTAGAAAGAAATGGCAAACAGACCGGGTGGGTGTCAATATCAGTGACATTCACCTGGACCGAGTGTGTTGGGGGGTTCAGGTAGTTTCATTGGGGCCGAGGTCAATTGCACCAACGAGTTGGGGAATCCTTTTCTTAATGGTACTGCCACGTGAAGACATTCGTGGACTCCTCAGTGAAGACCTTTCATTAAACCGTGGTTTCTCTCCGACTCACATGACACAGGGTGGCAGGTCTACCACCTGAGGTACTAACAGGAAGGTTGGTGGTTCGATCCCAGTCTGCTCCAGTCTGCAGATACTAGCCCCATGTTGCATCTATCGGAGTGTGGATGTTAGTTAGGAAGCACTTTAATAAGAGTAGAAAAAAGTGCTTGGCTGAATGTACAAGTTGTGTAAAGCCCTTTGAGTGCTCAACAGAGTAGAAAAGCACTATATAAGAACCAGCCCATTTACATCACTACAGGATTTATTTATTAGACTTGGCACCTTTGTGATATAATTATAGAAAGTTGTGTTCAGACAAACGACCACCAGCTCAGTGAACAGTTTAAATGATAAATGCAGAAGGTGAAAGAATCTACAGCTGAGCACAAACGTGCATTTCAACATGTGATATAACATGAAGCCGTTTAAAGCAGCGTCGTGCAGACGTACTACGATTCCTCGGACAGGAACCAGGGATTTTTTTAACCTTAATGGCAGAAGATTTGAAGCAGGCTTTCATGTCCGAGTCCTTTTGTCTGATTAGTGCACTCATGCTCCCAACTCCCATTACTACCTGACTCTGACAATACAAGCGATGACTCATTCAGTAGATTAGCAAAGGAAAAAATAATAAAAATATTCGTCAAGCTTCCAAGTGCACCGATTTGTGTTTAATGAGGGGGATCACGACTGTGCACACACTGGTCTTAACTCATCTGTACAGCTGCACCCCACGGTGTCGCACCTCAGCTAACCCCACACACATTATTATTAGATACCACTACAGGCCGACGTAAAGTTCAACGCGATAGAACGAAGCTGGAACTTCCAACATGCAACACAAATTCATAACGTCACATTACAGGCTCGAGTTAAAACTCCAGAGAGTCAGTGCACAGAATTCCTTCATTTCCTAACAAGACTTAATTTCACATCTGCAAGCAGGAACATGAAACCTAGTTTTGACATGCAGACACACAATGCAAGACTTTTACATTAATATTACATGAAAATGTTCCGTCCACAAACATGCACGCACAAAGGTTAAAAGGGTGGTTAGCGCTACGTTGTTGTGTTTCCTGTTCAGCTGACAAAGGATGAGTAACATTACTTTAACATAATGATCATTCCTATCAATCAACAGGATCCGAGACAAAAAGGAAATCTCACTAAGACTCCCACTGGGAAATAGGACCAGTGTCCCAGAAATGAGATGGCCCCATCAGATTAACACAGAGGCCTGAGAGGGGACTGGAGTAACAGAAACAGCTTAGACATGACAGGCAGTTTGTGGTGAAAAATCGCAGGAGGCACAAAAACTGTCCAGCAGTCAATATAATGACATTATGAGAGGACAAAAAAAGGGCTTAAATTTTATCTAATGTTTCACAACATCTCAGGAAAGGGAGGCATCAGGAGAATTGTGCTTTGCCTGCCATATACGAAGCGAGAGCCACAATTAGGTTTCCATAATTCACTAAAAAAAGCCATACAGTTGGCATATTTCACAGTGAATCTGAATGACAAAAATACTGAGCAGCAAATTAGGATTAAAGAGAAAAGCATTTGGCCAAGCAAGCCACTAGAGAACTGAACCAGTGCCAGTGCACCCACACACTCCGGCATGGAGCGATTCCATGCCAGCCCGGAGAGAAGACAGGGAATACTCCTTCCTTTAATCAGACAAGATATTAAAAGAGCATCGATAACCTAGATGCTTGAATTAAATATGTCTTCACCTTCTCAAATCAAGTCAATCCGGCTACACTCCCGAGTGAGGTCACGAGAGGACTCGGATCCTTAGAAGAGGACGATAAAACAAACGTGCTGCAAAAACGTTCCCAGCAACATCCCAGAGGAAGCGGCAGTAATGTGAAACACAGTGAACGGGCTGAATGATAACCATGTCACAAAGGTGACATTCCTAGCTGGAGGGAAAGCCGCCGTCTTTTCTGTAACTCGGGCCCATTAAGGTAGTCTGTATGCGGTCTTTCTTTCTGGCCCGGCTCGCTGGGGAGCACCATTACAGGGAAGCAGTTTGGACTTTGACCCCGGTGCCTGCAGAGAGCTGGGAAACACTTCTGAGCTCCTCTGCTTCCTGTCAGTGAGAGATGCAGGAATCAGACAGGTTCCTTAATATTCAGCCTTTTCCCTGCTGTTAGTGGTTACGGGGGCCTAACGATGTGCATTCCAGCACTTGTGCGATTTTCACAGTCTAGGAGCAGGTGTTGCTTCGCTTTTGATTGGTGGTTGTTGTACTCCAGAGAAACACATACCAAATGAAAGAGGGGGGAGAAAAATCTCACACTTCCCCCTCCCTCCCCATCAACTTTCTTTTGCCATTACCACTTCTCTGCCCCCTCCTGTTTCAACAAATGAGCTCACTGTTTTTACAATGATTAGTACTTAAGGGACTTAGCAGTAAATGTACGAGGTGTAAGTGGTATGAGTGTGAAGACAACTACACAATACACAAATTCATGCAGAGACAAAGAAAATAAGACAAATAAGAGCGCCAGCATGGATCCTGTCAGTGCGGCTTCAGTGACGTGAACCCCCCCCCCAGGCTATTAGTCCCAACTTAGATGAAGGTTTCAACCAACTTCCTGCAAAATCAAAAGGTTTGTATTTTCCTGTTTATAATGGACAAAACTGAGACAAAGCAAGAACTGGAAACGATCGAAAAACAGTTTGGGATACAAACACACAGAACTTCAGGCGCTGTAAGCAAACACATCCACATAACAACGCTTTCCCAGAGCGTCTCCTCGGATGTGAGGGACGATTTCAGACTGTACCTGTGACTGCTGGCAGCACACGATGCTTTGAAGAGGACAGAGCTTAAGGGAAACAAAACGCCTTCGAGCAAATGCTTTTCAGACTCAAACCATCAGAAAAAAGGTAGGAAATAAATATATGTATCACACCCACCACGTAATCCAGCACTCGTCTTTGAAAGCATATGCAAGAGCTGAAAAGCCAGGTACACACAGGAAGAACAGAAAGCACACCAAGCCGGAGCTAAACAGCCTACGAGCGATTAGAACTGCAAAGCCTTCAGTCTGCCTAAGTAGCTTGGTGTCCTCGACGGTGGGCGATTATCTTGCGCTTGGCTTTGGGGGGATATCAGACTGTCAGGGCGCAGTTAGAGAACAGCCAGCTGGTCGTGGCATGGAGAAGCGTTTCTATCACGGTGGAGCAGATGAGCAAAGCTTTCCTGGGGGCAACAAATAAATAAGAAAGTTGCAAGTACTAAGAATATAACTGCTCTGAGACCAGCCGGTCAACCGTGACGACAGCCTGCCACTGATCGTTAGCAGACAAACTTCTGGGTGATGTCAGTGCAGCAGTAAGAATTTACCGCTACCATTTCACAACCCTTATGTGGCAATAAGCTGCGCACACGTGGACGCAGTTTAATTTGATGCCGTTTTAAAAGCAAAGAAACAGAAATGACGTGTGACAGGATGAAAGAGAAGAGTCCAGTGTCCAAGGCGGAGTGACTACCAGACCTAACGCGCCCAAGAAGCGGAAAGAGGTCTTTGTGTGACGGCAGAGTCACGGTCATGGGTTAGAGCGCTTTAACCTTCTGATCCTCTGCCCTCCTCATGTGGATTCTGAACCTTGAATTTTCTCCAAGAAACCAGACTCACACAACCTCCCAAAAACATGCGAGTGGAAACTTTCAGCACCAAAGAAGTTTACTTGGTATAAAGCGTTGCTTAATTTCCTGGTGCTACATTCCTTAGATAAAGAAATTACTATTAGCGGGCTGTAAAAGTGTGATAACATTGTTCAAACAAAAAAACAAAAAGTCGAGGAATCAAAATCCAATGATGGCTGAAAAACAGGAAACTAAAGAGGAAAGCTCGTGAGGCTTTCAGCCTTAACAGCTGATAAATCAAAGCACACACGTCTAGTTCCTGAGAGTCACCATCAACAAGCTGATGGCCGCACTGTGGAAAATCCCATCTGTTTCAGGCTGAGAACACTTGTCCATACAAGACTTGTCTTAATATGATAGGGCAGCTTTTAGAGTGCCTTTACGGTCCATGACCTCACTCTGTAGCGCGCGCACACACACGCGACATTAAAAAAGGAGTAACGAGAACAAAACCAAAGCCCAGGAGTCATTCTTTTGAACGTTACCAGCCAATGCCACATCCAGCTGGAATACTTCGTAACTTTCCACACGGCGGTGTCCGCAAACGCCTCCTCCCCCATCCATCCATGTGTCAAAGCAGCGGGGTCTCGTCAACACAGCGCCAAACGCTTACGGCGAAGGTTTTGGTGTAGACACGCAGCGTTGTGTCGGCCGGGGAGAGAGTAAAGTTACTGCCACCACGGCACTTGGCACGGCATCGGTGTCCAGGGAGCCCGGTGGCAAAGTGGCGGTCTGCGACGCAGAGTGGAAAAAACTTCCAGACAGCACCACGCTGCTGAATCCTGGCTAACCGCACACCTTTTAGCCGCAGGCTCGAGCACACACCGCCTCACACCTACCTCCGTTTCCAGGTCAGCTGTATCACGGTCTCCGGCGTGGTACGACTCGGGGACGCTTGGGTCAAATTTTAAAGCCGCTGTCTGCAGTTTCGACGCGGTGAACAACGTTGCAAGGCAGCCACATACAAAGAATAAGTTTCAGCACATAGAGCAGCCGACATGTGATAGATGTGTATCACACACGAAAGCCTTACTGAACACAGACAGAATCGCGCTAACAACTCGTTTGGGTGCAAACTTAACCGTAAGTTCCGCGGAGCTCCGAGAAATCCATGCAGCAACTTGCTCGCTCCCGACAGCCCCTGTTGCTTAACTTGTAGCGAGCCAACTACCCAGCTGTGACAACCTCCGTCAAGCCAGTGGCAGCGACAGCGGTAACTTCCGGTTTGGAACTTCGAAATAAATGTAGCAAAAACTAGAATAACACGTTAATGACAATTTATAAAACAAAAACGCCACACAAAAAGAAGATTTCGTTTATTTTATTTAATCAAAGACCTAAAATAACAAATACATTCTTTGCTGTTATTTTTAAAGCGTTTCACAAGAGATATTCACGTTTTTATTTTTTTAAGCAAAAAAAAAAAGCATCTTCCGGTAGCAGCACCTGTGACGTATGATTTTTCTACTGGCGCTCTCGGGTTTGCTCGTTTTCATGTTCAGCATTTGTCTGTTAGCATTTTCATATCATTAAAATTTCTGTATATAAATTGTATTTAATTTTTGCCATTTCCAACCAACTGTGGAGAAGCCGAGAAGCTGCGTGTAACAGCTGACTTACCCTTTAAATTCAAATTCTGTCACATACGCAGTATGACACGTGGTGCTTATTGCTGTGCAGCAAGAATTGACCGTAAGATAAAGGGTATAGTACAGTAAGTGATATTTATGTAAATTACACCTTTACTTGACTTTTTACTTTTGCAGAGGATTGTATATTACATCATCCATTACCAATCACCGGTAATACCAGTGTAAAATAATATTTCTGATTGTTATCGCATCAAATAATGATGCATTTTTATGCATGTAATTACATGTTTGTGACTGTACACACACTTTGTACAGCAATTTGGGCAACGTTGTATTTGAAAGCTCATTTAAAAATACATTTTATTTGCTTACTGAATGTATGCAAAAGTACTTTCAGCAGTTCTCTCATTTCTGTGCCTGGACTCTATACACACACACACAGACACACACACAGACACAGACAGACAGACACACACACAGACACAGACAGACACACACACACTTGCTTGAGTGTGTAAATTTTCATGCATTTTAAGCTTGTGCACAATCAAAGCCTCCAAGACCAATCCTGAGAATGCTGAACACTTTGCAACACATATTCTTACAGCTTTGTGGCTTCTCAGCCTGGCTGCATGATAAAAACAGTTGCAAGTTTCAACACGGCGCCATTCAAAAATCTCATAACTCTCTCTGGGCACAGCTGATTGCTACACTGTCAACTCTTTTAATCAGCCTAATGCCACCACTGAATGCCGCAGTGGCAAACTTTGTGAGAAACTAAATTGATTATCTGTCTGAAATGGCTCGTAGGCCAACCATTAGACGTGAAGGAATGTAATTCCAATGAATGACATGGATTATTAACTTTAGGGAGATTAGGTCCCCGTGGATAACCAATCAAGAGTAAATACAGCCTGGAGACGAACTCACTAGAAGTGCATCAGTTCTGGCAGACGGGTGGGGGCACAGAAAAACTAATCCTCCAGTGCTGAAGTCTGTCAGAGGCTTATGAGGAATACACCACATCAGTGTAGAGTGTTACTTTATTAAAACATAAAAAAATGTACACAGATAAAGTAAATATACAGAGTGCACATCTAAGTGTTTAACATAAAATACAACCGAGCTGTACTTTCAGTGCCGTTTCCCTCACTTAGAATAGATTGAGATGAATTTCAATAGGCAAAACGTTTCTTCCGATAAGCAAAGCGTTCAAGTACAGTTACTCTTTTTCACATTTTTGTCTTTAGGAACAGTGCCATCTACTGTTACGCAGGTGAGGGGGGAGGGGGACCGTACACATTCACACTCCCACAGAGAGTTAGCGGCAGTCGCCTCAACTGTCTGCAATGCAGTACAAAATCACAAGCACACCGCTCATATGAGCAGCAATGCAATTTGTCACTAGGACTAAAAGAGCCAAGTCCATGTCACTGAAGCCACAGCACCACGACATCATGCTGCTAAATCTCACTCGATGGCTGAACTGTAAGATCGTCTGTCACCACAAGAAATTCTTTAAGAATTAAATATGACAACAGCAAAACTAGCATTCAAGTTTGAGCCCAGATTGGTGATTTTTTCCTGCAATAATCAACATACTGTAAAAAGAAAAAAGTAAAGATATGACAACATGAAGAGTCACAAGTTTTTTACCGTTCAGCCCACTTTACACATTTGGTTGTCTCGTTTTTACCGACTTCAAGCAGCTGAATGTGAACAAAGTTGCAGCTTTAAAGGAAAGTGTCTGCAGTGCTGGCAGCTAATGTAATAAAACACTGTCACCAGAACCACACCCTGGAGACTAAATGATAACTGCAGCAGCTGTTTTAGCGTGCCAGTGAATCCAGTCCTCTTCCAGTCAGAGTGAGTAGCTTTGGAAGGTGCAATAATAGGATAGTTCATCAATTCTTTTGCACTGAATGCCACCATAACTTAATTGTTTTTAAACAAATGGAAGTTATCTATGTCACAAAGTTTCTATATTCATCCTAGTTTAATAAAAACAACACAAAAACCCAAGACTTTACTTGTCTTCATTTGCCCGAATGACCTGAGGTGCAACCAATCAGTGCTTGGAGGTGAGAGTAAGGGTGGAGGAGACGCGGAAGATCTGCGGCAGCATGTTGCTCAACTGGTAGAACATTTCCTCTGAGATAGTCTGTCAGTACAAAGAGACACACAGAGGGGTGACCAGGGTTAGTGGGCGGTTTGCACGGAAACATCTTCTCTCCCCGTGCTGTGATAATGGAAAGATGCTGTTTAAAGTCCTCAAAAAACAAAAGTACAGCTGAACTCTTGGCGTCCAGTCAAGTATTAACAGCCTCTGTGGCGTCCTGAAATGAAGTGAGCTCAGCAGCTGTGACTGGAACAGGGGACACACTCTAAGCACTGCCACCCGTCAAGTAAGAATGTTAAGTAATCCTAAAGCAGAAGCAGTCCCGCAAACACACGGCTTATATTTAGACACAGTATTTCTTTGAGTCGCAGACAACAATGTCGTTTCAGAAGCTGCTATTTTGAATGGTGTCTGAGCATGTAGCTGACAGGAAGCCGGTACAGTCAGAGTCCTTTGATGCCACTCGTTTTATCATCTTATCCTGTCAGCGGGAGCTCATTCTATAGGATCCACCGCCTTCCTGACAAACCGCAAAAACTCTGCACGTATA